AGGTTATCTAGGTAATTTGGTGGGGACAGGTGATTTGGGGACCCTGCTCTTCCGCCATCTTGCCCCTCCCCCCTAAAATTTTTTCAAAAAAGGATTCAAGTTCATAGAGGAACAGAAAAATCTCTCAGTAATTTACAATGTGTGTTTCTAATGTCTTTCACAAGTCAGCAATGTTGACTTTGAAACCCAAGTTTTCAGCTCTGAAAAGTCCCAAGTTTTCAGCATTTTGCCTGGTACTTAACTCAATAAAAGTCTGTTGAATTAGTATGTTAAAATATAGTTTTTAGGGCAGCCCCGGTGGCTCAGAGGTTTAGCGCCGTGTTCAGCCCAGGGTGTGATCCTGGAGACCCGGGATTGAGTCCCACATCTGGCTCCCTGCATGGAGCCTGCTTCTCCCTCTGCCTGTGTCTCTGCCTTTCTCTCTCTGTGTCTGTCATGAATAAATAAATAAAAACCTTAAAAATAATAATAATAAAATATAGTTTTTAAAAATATTGGATACTTACAGGACCTGTATAGAATTTATGAAAAGATTTGAAGTTATGAGGATTACAGTAACTTGGTCAGCCCTAGTGAGTAGGAACCTTCTGGATACTTTCGGATACCCTCCAAAAATTTGTCTGGAGAAATCTCTCTATATATTGGGCAAATCATTAACCACAGTTCTAATCATAAGTGGGTGGAGAGCAGCCTAACCCTAGAAAAATGAGGAGTCAAAGCTATCCTGGCTTATTGGTGACTGCATTTCAATTGTATTCATACATTTGTTTGTTTAGATTTAGAACATCTTGAACAAAGTGTGGCAGTTATGTCAAACTAGTTCTCAGTGAAAATTCCTTTTTTTTTTTTTAAGTTTTATTTATTTAAGTAATCTCTACATCCAACATGGAGCTTACATTCACAACCCTGAGATCAAGAGTCACAGGCTTGAGACGCCTGGTGGCTCAGGGGTTTACTGCCTGCCTTTGGCCCAGGGCATGATCCCGGAGTCCTGGGATAGAGTCTCACGTTGGGCTCCCTACATGGAGCCTGCTTCTCCCTCTGTCTGTCTGTCTCTCATGAATAAATAAATAAAATCTTTTCTTTTTTTTTTTTTAAAAAAGGAGTCTCAGGCTCCTCTGACTAAGCCAGCCAGTGTACCAACACAAAAATGAAAAAAAGATATATATAGTAACTTCTCTCAACCCCGCTACCCTTTTTTGTTACTTTAGCTTAATCTTAGATTTGGGTCAGGAGCCAATCTTAAATCTTAGTAAATGAAACAGATATACAAAAATCTGGCTTAACCCAAAGCAATAGATTTCTTCAAGTTTAGAAATTTAGCATTTGGCTGTATTTATGATGTATGTCTACAGTTGGTTGATCTTTGAACTTCTGTATATTGAACTTTTTCTGTAGCTTCTATATGAATGTTGGATTATTAGTCATGAAAAAAATAAAATTGTTAATTCTTATAGTTTTCTAGTTCATAATTAGCCAATTCAAGAGAGGAGAGGAGGAATTGGGCTCTTAGGTGATATAGATATTTTGATGTAAGTAATTAGCTCAGAAAAAAAGCAGATTTATTTAGTGAATACAATGAAGTAATATGTGGTAGTTTCAAGGTTCAAAGTTGAGTTTCCATGTTCTAAGTGAAATTGCCTGAAGGCTTTGTAGCTAGAGAATGAATCTGTGAGGGTAGAGTTAAGTGCTGGTTTTAAATTATTTCAATAATTATAGTAACTACTGCCTTTTCAGGGGGTCTGTGTTAACTCAGTGGTAAAATGTTTCACATTTGTGAACTCATTGAAAACATATTTGAAGATGTTTTGGTACATCACAAGATGCCCAGCTATGACTTTAGCTTTTATTGGTAAATCCTGTGTGATCTGTCTTTCTGGGGAAGTTACGCATGAAGCATACAAGTTCAGCCTGCTGTACGGGCAACGTGTGTTTGTTTTTCAGAAATCTTAAACTGTTTTTATGAGAGTATCAACTCTCTCAGGGAAACGACTCAACCACCAGCTGCCCCATGGGGGACGATGTGTGGGACACCTGTGTCCTGCTGTTTGGAAGAGAAAGGGCCGCTGGCCAGAATTTGGGGTAACTGACAGCCTTGGACTGAGAAGTGGAAAATCGAAAACAGCTGCCTTCCTCTTTATCGTTGATGCTAATCCACGCAATTCTAAAGGTATCTCCAAAACCCTAAAAAAAGAAAACCTTGGTGACTTGACTTAGAGCCTTGAGGGGAAAGCACAGTAACTCTGCTTGGTACCTAAGAGGCATTTGATAAATATGTGTTGAGAAATAAAGGAATCAGACACCTGGCTGGTTCAGTGGGCAGAGCATGCAACTCTTGACCTCAGGGTTCCAAGTGTGAGCCCCAGGCTGGGTGAAGAGATTACCTAAAACAATACAACCTTAAAAAAAAGAAAGAAGGAAAAAGAAATGGATGAAAGAAATGAATATAGTGCTCTGAATAGCATATGTTCTATTATACTGAATGTTCTAAATAGTATATCCAAGAGGTTGGGACATGTCATTGCTAGGGATAATAAATAGCACAACTACTCTTCTTAACAAAAATGACAGTAACTCCCCAGTTTACAAGTAAGACGGAAGAGGATTCTTTGGGCAGTCCAGAAACCAAAGGTGCTTGTGTGAATCTTTTTGTAGATGTTTGTTTGTTTGTTTGTTTGTTTCTTTCTTTCTTCTTCTTTCTTCTTTTTTCTTTTTTTCTTTCTCCTTCTCTTTCTTTCTTTCTTTCTTTCTTTCTTTCTTTCTTTCTTTCTTTCTTTCTCTCTTTCTTTCTTTAAGAGCCTGTTATTCTTAATAACTCCTTATCAGGGAGCTGTTTCAGGCAGATTAGGGAGTACTAGAATGTGTGTATTTCTTCTTAAAATAAGGTTTTGCCTGGGTGCCTGGCTGGCTCAGTTGGTGGAGCATGTGACCCTTGATGTCAGGTTTGTGAGTCTGAGCCCCACATTGGGTGTGGAGATTACTTAAAAATAAAATCTTTAAAGAAAATAAGATTTTGCTTTTAAAAAATCAGAATATGAGCATTTTCATGGCCTGAAAAATAAACCCAAAGCAAGCAATTGCTAATCTAGGCAGACACTGGTGATGTCTTCCTCAGCTTGTGTGTTGTATACTGTTGGCTTGAAACCTATGACCTTGTAATTAGAGGCTCTGAAAATTTGAAAGCTCTATGTGAAAAGCTTTGTTAAGAATTTCCCAAGAACTGAATAAGTATAATCTCACAGAATGGGACATTTTGATAGTGTTTGTACTACTTACTGATACATTTTCATATGTGCTGACGTTAATCATTCTCAATAGGCTTTAGTAGGAGGTTTAGCCCTTGGTATCTTAGGTGAGGCCTTAAATGCCGCTTTTCACAGATAACCCCGAGAAGAGAGAACACACTGGAAGCGTCCTACAGAAGGGGAGTGAAGTGTTGTACTCAAGCTCAGTGTGGGATGAATCCTGTCCTTTTTGCCTACCAGCTGTGAAATCTTGAGCACCTGATGTAATTTCTCTGGGCCTACTTGCCTCCGCTCCATTGGTAAAATGGGAATGATAGGATCTATCTCCTAGAGTTGTTGTAAGGATTACATATGACTAGATGTGCAAGGTGCTTTGAACAGTGCCTAGAACATAGTAAGTACTGGAATGTTTCCTAAGTAATAAGAATTTAAGTTGAAATGGATGAAATGCTTAAAAATCATGAAGACCAACCATTTTGCAAATATATTGCTTAAGAAGCGATATATTCCGGAGCAGGTGGCCCTTATGTACTTCTTCAACTAAAAATGATACGTTTAGAAAAATTTTATGCTGGATCACCATATGCCGTTATACTACATGCCACAATTAATTAGGCACAGAATATTCTACCGCTGAACTCACTGCTGGCTGACATCAATTCTCTACTAACCTGTACAAACACTGAGTATGGGACATTTATATGGCATCTCGTGTGGATATTCCGAGGTTCTTCATTCTTCCAACTGTTTGAGAAAACTAAGGCACTTAGCTGTCACTTAAAACGGGGGATGATCTTTCTTTGAGTCCTACCAGCTTCATGCTTAAGCGCCAAGCAATCCAGCTAAGAATCTGATTCCGTTCAAATATGTGTCGGCCGCGTTCTCTATCTGTTCCTATATTCAAGAGTACGAAGGACGAGAATGCAAGCCAACCGGGCTGATGCTCCTTAAAGCCTTTATCCGTGGAGAAGTCCTGACGGCAAATGAACCGATCAGTGTCATCGTGTCTCCGCCTGGCCGCGAGAAGTGGCCCGGGCGTCCAGCATCCCGCCCTCCAAGGGGGACCGGGCCATTTCCAGTCACAGTCTCACTTGCCCGAACTCCCCGGGGACGGAGGGCGGCCGGTGTCGCTGATGGCATCGCCTGACATCACCGGTTCCGGACGATAGGCGAGCGCCGGGCCCACCTCATCCGTGGCCTGACTGCGTTAACCTCTCGGTTCCCTGCTCCTGCCACGTGAGGTGTCCTAATATGGTCGGAGAAGCCGGGGAGCCTTAGCCTGTCTCCGGGCCGGTGAGGAGGAGGCTGGGACCAGCCGACGATCCCACGGCCCCAAGGAGAGCCGCGGGGGCTTGGGGTCCGCCTCGGGGCGACTGGAAAGTGCGCTGCCGCAGCAGCTCTGCCTTGGGTTATCAATCATCTAACAAACCTCCGCAAATCCAATCTCCCCTGGGGGCCTTCCGGCCTCCCCTTCCCCTCCGCAAGCCTGGGCGTCCCCCCGGCTGGTGTCGCCGTGCGGGGACCGGGAGGGCCCGCCGGGACCCCGGCTGGGGCTCGGGCGCGCCTCTGGTCCCACGGCCCGGGGGGAGATAGATGCTGCTGCAAGGCGTGTCTGGGGCTGCGCTCATGTGATGAAGCGAGGGAAAAACAAGGGGGAGGAGGAGGAGGAGGCAAAGAGGTGGCTTTTTTTTTTTTTTTTTTTTCTTTTAAGGAGTTTGCCGCGAGCGCGTCTCGTTCATTCGCAGTCTGGGCGCGTTCGGAGGAGGACGGCGGGAGAGGAAGGCGCTCCCGGGACCTCGCGGGCGCGCGGCTTCTGCTCCTCTCCGCGTCCCTGGACCCGCGGGAAGCCGCAGCCGCAGCCGCAGCCGCAGCCGGGCGCCTGGGCGCGGGAGAACCGCCGGGGAGCCATGGGTGCCGGGAGCTCCACGGAGCAGCGCAGCCCCGAGCAGCCGGAGGCGGGGAGCACCACGCCGGCCGAGCCCCAGCCCGGCGGCGGCGGCGGCGGCGGCCTTGCGGCGGAGGCGGCTCCCGGCGAGCCGGGGGACCCCGCCATCGCCGCCGCGGACCCCGCCACCAAGGTACGGGCGCGCCGGGCCACCTGCCCCGGGGACGGGGGTTGGGCGGGGGGCGGCGTGAGCCCCCGCGGTGTCAGCCGGCGGGAACTTCCCGGCGCGCCCAGCCCATCTGCCAACTCGGGAGCACGTACCCCTGTGTCCAGCTTTCCAGGGTCTCACGCGCCGGGGCGGGACCGGAGCGGCGGCGGGCGCGGCGGGCTTGCATCTTTGTCGCGGGTCTCCGGGGGACGCGACTGCGCCATCCGCAGTAATAAAACCCGCCCCCCGCCCCCCGCTCGCCCAGCCTTTCTCCGCGCTCTTCCGGTGGGGGCGACCCAGCCCGAGACTCGCGGGCTGCGCGGGGGAATCCGGGCGGGGGGGGGGGGTTAGGGACCCGCCCGCCGAGGGTCCCGCGCGCCCCCCCCCGCCCCTCCCCGCCCCTCTTTCTCCCGGAGGCGGAAAGTCAGCTGTGGGGCCGGGACCCGCGGCGCCGCGTGGCGAGCCAGCCCCGTGGGTGCCCCGCCGCGTGCGGTCCTGGCAGCGGCGGTGCCCGGGGCCACCGGGTTTGGTACCCAGTGCTGCGGCGGCCCGCGCCGACACCGCCTTCCTGGTGCGGAGAAAGCCTGCGGTGCAGCTCGCTCGGAGCCAAAGAAAACCTGGGCAGGCGCTGCCCTTCCTGAAGGGGTGACAGGTTTCGCAGGCGAGGCAGGGTCCTCCCCTTCGCTGCGTTCGCGGCCCGGGGGCTCCCGTGGATGAGCCCTCCGGGGAGTCGCCGCGAGCTCCCCGGGGATGCGGCCGGAGGCGTCCGCCAGCCTTCCTGCCCCCTGCCTCGGGACGCAGTGCTGAACCTCCAGAAACTGTGTATTTTATAGTCTTCTGTCTTCAGAGCTGAAATATTTCCTCTGGGCCAACTACAGCCGCCAAGACTGTGACTTGTGTGGATCGTTGTATTTTAGATCTATTTTCCAGCAAGTGTGTTCGTTAGCAAGGCGTCGCCTAACCTGTTTTGCGATATCCTGATAGGAAGATGGTGGAGGACTTATGCTCATATATTAAAAAAAAAAAAAAAATCTGTTTTACATGGGTTGGGGAGATGGTGGATGACTTACATATTTATGTTTTGTTTTTTTTTTAAAGACCCATGTTTTACACGGGTTTATTTATTTATTTTTATTTATTTTATTTTTTACACGGGTTTACAACCTGTGTTGTATCCGAGGATACAAAATGGGAGGACTTGTAGATGTTTACAGTGTGAAAAACACCCCTCCCCCCCCCCCTTACAATCTAGGTGAATTTCACAGAACTGTGACCTCATTGCCGTGACCTCTTTTAGCTGTCCTAGTCTAGTTTGGGCGGAGAGACGGCTCTTAATTAGATTACTTCTAGTCTTTAATTTATAACTACTTGTAAAACCCATGGTCCCTAGAGCTATAGCTACTACCAAGTAAAAACTGCTGGAATATCTAATTTTCTAAGACATGCCAAAGCTTTGGGCATAAATAAGGTGCTAGCCCGTTGAGGTCTAAGTCACATTTTAATACCTACTGTACATCACCTTTTGATGCCAACTACTGCCAAAATGGCCACATAACCAGTATTTAGGATCTGGTAGTGAACGTAGTTTTAACGTGTAATTGCTAAAAGCTTGCAATTGGAGACATTTTTTTTTTTCCCTTGGTTTTTACTACTTTCAGGTCTTCTTAACAGTTCATGCTGAAATAGGATACTTGATCCCTTTCCTGGAAACTTGAGTTTGTTCATTTAAAAATATTCCTTCCGTTCTTTTTGTCCTTCTGCCATAACCTCACCCTCCCTCTTTCCTAGTCACCATCTTGAAGCAGCCAAGCAACCTCCTTGAAAAAAAAAAAACCTACTTAAATAACATCTAGACTATCATTGAACTCTCTGGCACGCTGCCCAGTTATCAATTTGGAGACAAATCAATACACTTACATGTATCCTTGGAAAATGGTGTCGTTTTTCATTTCAACTAGCAAAATTTATTACACAGGTTTTCAAAAGTCCTTTTGAAAAGAACTCCCTAATTAAGAATGACTCAGCACATAGCTCTTGCCTCCCCTCTTGGCCCTGTGAAACTTCAGTTGCTGACCCCTGAGTAATCCCATCTGCCTATCCAGGCTCCTGTAGTACCCCTGACCCATCCTAGCAGTTTCTACATTTGTGGGGTAAGTGTTCATCTGGTTCTGGATGCTCCACAAGAGCATGGACCCCCCCCCCCCCATGCGTTTCCCCAAGTGTTCCCCCATGTGTGTCATGCTCCTGGGCATGGAGGATAATATTAACTCTCTGGTTTTGATTGGATGTTGTCAAGTTGGAAATACCTTGGGCCATCTCCTTTTTCTACAATTTAACCTTTGACTGTGTCCTTATTGTGCTCTGTGTCATGTATCAGATAGTGCCTAAACCAAATCGGCCCTGTTATTAATAGACTGAGGAAATATTTTGGCAAAAAATGCTGATTTAGGGTCTTTGGTTTCTACTTTTCCAGAAATAAAGTGGCTTGTTAGCATTGCAATTTCGAATTGTCTTTAATCTCAAATAGACAAAATATTATAAATGCAAGTGGCTCAAGTGAGGCCACTTCATACATTAAATTAGTCCTGAATTAGGTACCTGGGTGGCTCAGTTGGTTAAGCATCTCCCTTAGGCTCAGGTCATGATCCCTCAGGTTGTCATCCTGGGATCCAGCCCCTGTTGGGCCAGCAGGGAGTATGTTTCTCTGTCTAACTCTCCCGTCTGCTCTGCTTGTGCTCTCTCTCTCACGCTCTCTTTCTCAAATTAAAGAAAAAAAGAAAAGACAACCTTTGAATTAGATATGAATCGCATCTTGAGCTATCTTGATTGGATGTGTGGACATTTGGAGGTTTAGACTAATACAACCTCCCCTTTCCTGGTAGAGTGCTGATCATTAACTAAAGGCTATTAACAGATTTTTTTCCCCCTATCTAACTAGTATTTATATCAGTTGCCTGCTGCCTATTTAGTAATCCAGTTTACTTTTTTTTTTGGTAAATTGTAGTTATCTGTCATTTACTAAGTACTCAGCCCTCAAAAGACATTACACTAATTGAATATCATTTCTATCAGATCAGATGGAGTGTAAAAAACCTTGATTACTGAAGCCTAACATTCAGGCACACTGAGGTACATGTCTTGGGTTTATCTGGTGTATTTCTTTTCATTTATTTATTTATTTATTTATTTATTTATTTATTTATTTATTTAAGATTTTATCTATTTATTCATGATAGACATAGAGAGAGAGAGAGAAAGGCAGAGACACAGGCAGAGGGAGAAGCAGGTTCCATGCTGGGAGCCTGATGCAGGACTCGATCCTGGGACTCCAGGATCACTCCCTGGGCTGGAGGCAGGTGCTAAACCACTGAGCAACCCTGAGATCCTATCCTTGGTGTATTTCAGTAAAATGGAAGGAGTCTTATCTGGTGTATTTCAATAGAATGGAAGGAGTCTTATCTTACAGTCAATCTTTTACAGTCTTATATGTGTAAATTCTGGGGGGTGATGGTGTGATCAGTTATTTGCTAGGTTTAATTTTGAGACTGGGCCATTTTGGCCACTGCAGGGGTGGAAATATAGACTACCTAAATGCAAGTAGCAAATAGAGGCTCCTGTTCCCCAATCACCTGTTTTTAAAAGTTTGAAAGAATATTTTCACTCAGATGTCAATATAGCAATATAGGGTGGAACAAATTTACTTACAGTCTCTGGCAAATCTTGATTTCTTGAGCCAAGTTGTAAGTTCAGTCTGGACAATCATAATTCTGTGAATTATTTCTGTTGTATTTTCTGCTCAGTCAGTGACTTCAGAGCTGAAAATGGAGCAGTGGTCAGTTGCAACCATGAGGCCCATGGGGACTATTATTCTATGTCCTTCTGGCTATGGTTCCATTAAAATTTTTAGATTTTTAAAAGATTTTATTTGTTTGCCAGAGAGAGAAAGCATGCGCAAAAGCAGGGGGAGCTGTAAGCAGAGAGGGAGGGAGAAGCAGACTCCCCACTGATCAGGGAGCCCAAGAAGGGGCTCGATTCCAGCCCTGGGATCATGACCTGAGCCAAAGGCAGACACTTAGCTGACTGAGCCACCTTGGCGCCCTCCCTATGGTTCTGTGAATCACCAAAACATAAAGCTGTACACAAATAGAAATCATCTGATAGGTAGATTTAAGGATATGTTTGCTCTTTATGCACTAAAACAGACAACTGAACTGGCCAGCTGCATTTCATATTTCTTCCCAGGCTGAGATAGGATACTTTGTCCCACATGTCTTCTGTTTACAGAATGGAATGGAGAACGACAATGACCTTAGTGTGATTATGTCACCGGTTTTATAATAAAAGGGCCAGAATTTAGGACGATTACGAGAGAATTAAATATTTGTTAACAGTGGTGTGTGTGTGTGTGTGTGTGTGTGTGTCTACCTGTGTTCCTGTGGCTTTCCCCCAGATTACAAGAGGTGCTGCTTTGTGAGTAGAACACAGTCCAAAAATTGGAGATGTGGTAGGAGAATGATCATTTAGGAGACATAGATTGCAGTGCCACCCCTTTAATCCGTTATAGGTTATCCCCGTAGGTTAGTGGATGTGTGAAATCCGTGAAGATTTCCATTTGAAATACTTCTATAATGAAGAGGCCTCAAATATGCATCCTTTTGAATCTACTTTAGGTCTGCTAATGTCTGCTTTGATCACTTGAAAGCAATTAGAATAAAGATTATTCTAATTTGGTATTTTATAGGATAATTAATAAAACAGGGATACTTGGTGGCTTGGTTGGTTAAGTGTCTGCCTTTGGCTCAGGTCATGATCTCAGGGTCCTGGGATGGAGCTGCACATAGGGTTCCCTGCTCAACGGGGAATCTCCTTCTCCCTCTGCCCCTCTCCCTGCTCATGCTTTCTCTCTCTCTCTTAAATAAAATCTTAAAAACAAAACAAAACACAGAAATAACATGTTTTGCTTTAAAAAGGCATTATGAAATTAT